CTAGGAAACCAGCATTAATTAGTTATTAGCAACAACTCCAGTTGTATCTCCTCATAGGCAATTCCAAGTGACACTTTAGACATTCTGCATCAATAAAACCACTGCATGTTTAGAACAGTTGGCTACAAACACATCGGCAACATTTTACACACCAAGTTATGCCCATGAAACTGGTGATGGCACAAAAACTCACTTTCAACCCCCCCCATCACGCTCAGGCTGATGTTGCCCAAGTTAAATGTTTTTATAGCTCGAAAGCAAAGGTTAAGAAAAATTTTGTATTGCTCTTTGTGGAGTTTTCCTAAACTCCCACTCCATTTCCACACACTTATCACCCTCCTCCTCTTGGCCAGGCAGCAAACTCCAGTTAGGTGCTTGCAGACTCTTCAGACCTCTCTGCAAATCTTTGCTTGAGGGTTAATGTCATGTGAATCACGAGGGCATTTTATCATCAGGAACAACCAAATACTCTTATTTATACATGGAAATATCTACCATATGTGAGTTCCTTACTCAAACTGATAAGTTTGCATGAGGTAACTGAGCCAAGCGATTTTTTTTTTAATGACACTTTTTGTTTGCTGCTTTTCCCTGTGATAAACATGAGGCACAGGTGTGTACACACACCCGACAGCTTTTAAACTGAAGTGTTAGTTTACTAGGAAAGCTTCATAAGCCAGTCAGGTAATTTTCTCAGATGACTAATGAACATGCAGTGCAAAAGCCATGCAAGTTGTCCATATGGAATGGGAATATCAAGCGGAGAGACCGGTGCTCGGCTGACTTGGGACGTAACCGAGACCTGAATATTTCTGCTCTATTTTTAACCAGCGATATAATTAGAAATAATCAAGGAGCACACACCAAACAGAAACAAATGATGACCTTCTGTTTCCAGGGACCCCAAACGATCTGTGCTCCATCCTCAGCCCCCCAGGAGGAGCATCCCCGGCAGCAGCACCTGGGAGTGGTTCCCACCACGCCGCTCACAGACCCCTCCGGTTCTGGGCACCTCGTGCAGTTCCAGGCCCACCAATTGCTAATTCTGTTCCATCAGGACTTCCCAAACTGGCAGTTTATCCTCTAGCAACAAAATACATATCGATTCCAAGGACTTTGAGAATACCAGGGAGAGACAGAACAAATTTCCTGCTTTTGAATAATCTCATTTGCAATCTTAGTGGTGTATACAGGCTATCACAGCTTTCCTGTTAAAAATTGACACCAACTTCATTTTTATTCCCAATAATGCAATCCTGTATAGATCCAAGTTTATACATAAATCTCAACTCAGTAACAAATAGTTAAGATTCAGCAGTTAGATTTAACAAAACAGGCAAGATTCAGCTTAATTTGATGCTTCTTCCTGATTTTTTTGGTTTTACTGCCTTAGCTAAGTGAAACATTGTCCTAACTCTAAAATCAGTATCTCATCTCACCATATCTGCAAATCAACCAACTAGACTGGAAAACACACTATTGTCTGCAGACACACAAATAAATGAAGTTATACAGCTTTTTTTCCTAAAATAATTCAGCTGCACTCTTTTCTTCTTCAGAGAGCAACGACCAGCTATTTATAGATGGGATCAAATGTCCCTCCAACACACACAGCTCCACACAAAGAACATGGGCTTCCAAATCTGCAACTTCTGCTCATTTATGGCATTTTTATCCACACCAAAATGCCAACATGGTGGGGGTTTGCATTAAAAACACAGCAAGCAGCACTTCACTCCTGACAAGCAGAGCTGAGAGTCTCACAGCTGAAGCTCCACCTGGACCTACAAACTTGGTGTTCCTCTGCCTCTCCAGCCCTCGGCACCAGCCCAAGGAGGCTCTTCCCAACATCCTAAAGAGGTGAAGCTTCACCCAAAGCATGGGACAGAAGACGTGGCACTGTCACCCTCACATCTAACACACCAAGGGGAGCACTTCCATGCCATGGAACATCTCTGCCTGACTCCCTCTCCTACGAGCAGGGAGGGACTTGCAAGTCTCCCTACCCTGTGCCGATATAAAAGCATGTGGAATGTCCCCTATTTAAGAAAAAATAGCAGCAATCAGGTAGGAAATAGTGTGAATTAAGATGAAGTTCATCCACCACACATGAGTATCTCATCTTCACTGAGAACCAAGAGAGCCTCTCCCTCCCTCTAAAGCCCAGGTACAAACACCCTCAGGTAGGGAAAGCCCAGCTCCTGGTCCTTAGCAGGGATCCCATGGGACAGCCCCCATGGACACGGCATAAAGGCACCTTCCACAGGAGAGAAAGAGGAGAGGAGCAGTTCAACAGTGATTCCCATATTTCCACAGTGATACTTCTAAATTCCTGCTCCGATGAGGGTTTTATTCTGCATTGTTTCAGCACATCACTCCCCCTTTGCAGACTTAATTCACATGTTTGGCTCCAACAGACAGAACTTCACCTGCCAATTTGATTTCCTCAAACCACAAAGGATTGTTTTAAACTAGCAAAGAACAACCAACACAACCATAACACCAGTGAGCTGTCAGGAGAGCAGGAATATCGGAAAAGAATCATCACATGGCAAGATTTTAAACATAAAAAAGTATCTTATCTGTAACAGGTACTTTGTAGATCTTTGAAGTCTCCTACAATATTTTTCAAAAAAAAAAATCTGCTTCAGGCCTGGAATCTGCAAAGCTTAGAGTGTGTAAGAGAATAAATAAATATATTCCCTGTCAACAGGAGTCACCACACATGGTTCCATCAGTGGTGTCCAAAAAGAGAACTACCACAGACATCAGTGCCTAATGTGATTCGAAACAGAACAATTACACCATTTAATATCAGAGTTTAGCCATTCTTACTTTGCCAAGTTGCTAAAAATCTCTCATTTGACCAGCAGTTTTTTCCAAATTCCATTTGCACAGAGCTTTCTCTTAAAATACCAAGATTCAATCAATCTACACGGGAATTTCTTTTTTTTAAATCCCAGCATTCAAGCCCAGATTTTCTTTCAAGCTTCCTACGAGCTTATTGCTGGCAAGGAGGAAAAAAGAAGTTACTTTTCAAAGCCAGTATTCGGCAAAACGAGCAGATAACATCGCTGCAAAGCTAGGGAGGCTTCTACAGTATTCATAGTCTCATGCAAGGGCTTTAGAGAAAGCCTTCTCCTGCCTCACCTGGGCCAGACTGCGTTTTCCGTAGCCTATAAAGAACCGGGATTCAATCACGGATCATTAAAGGTAACAATGGTAAAAGGTGTGAGAACGACCGCGGCTGAAACGCTGCCAGACCGCTCATTTCTGGGCGACTGCGGCAGTTCCCAGGCAAGTTCCCCTCTGCCCACAGGTTGCCGGTACCGAGCCCGTGCCGCCTCCAGCACCGCTCCCGAGCCGGGACGGAGCCCGTCCGTGCCCGCCCGCCCTCGGGGCGAGCCGGGAGTGGGCGCACAGGTGGGGGACGCCTTCAGTGCCGGCAGCCGGGGCTCCAGGTGCCCCTTGTTCGCGGGGAGGCTCCGCCGGCGCTGCCCGAGGCGCGCAGTGGCCCCTGGCGGTGCCCGCCCGGGCGGAGCGGAGCGGGCTCAGCCCCGCGGCACCGCTCGCCCCGCCGGGGCCGCCCCGGGCCGCCCCCGCCCCCGGACCGTCCGCGCCCGCCGCCGCCGGGGTGTCCCCCGCGCTTACCCGTGAGGAGGCTCCGGGAGCCGCTCCGCGCGGCGGGCGCGGGCTGCGCCAGGAGAAGGGCGATGCAGAGGGAGCCGAGGAGCCGCCGGGCTCTCCGCGCCGCCATCGCTCCGCTGCCCGCGCCCGGCAGCCGGGCTGCACCCAGCGCCAGCCCCTCCCCCGGGGGGCTCCTCCTGCCTTCCTTCGCTTGCCGGGCGGGCTGAGCCCCGCGGAGGCGGCGGCGGCGGGAGAGCGGCGGGCGGGCGGAGCGGCCGCGCTCTCTCTCCCCCTCCCTCCCTCTCTCCCTCCCTCCCTCACTCCATCGCGGGCCGGGCTCCGCCGCTCCCTCCCCTCCCTCCCTCCCTCACACGGACCCCGCGGGGCGCGCGCCGCCTCCCGCCCGCCCCTCGCCGCGCGCATGCGCGCGCGCGCCTCCCC